AATTAGACCACTCCAATATCACCTGTGGCTTTCTTTCTTCCTTCCAAGCCAGACCTTCATCTTTTCACAGATGCTTCTTTCACTGGGTTGGGAGCATCCATAAACAACCCATACTTTGGGTTTTTGGACTTCAGGGGAGCATTCTCTTCATATCAACATCCTAAAACTACTTGCTTTCCAGTGGGCATGCTTTCACTCTTGGTGGATCATTTAGTTATGGTCCACTAGGACAACTCCACAGCAGTCATTTCACACATCAAGGGACACTTGTTTTAGGACCTTCTTTTTCTAGACTTTGGACCTCCTGTATTGAGCCCATCCCAATTATGTAAGCTTAATTGTATGCCAGATTCTGGGCACTCTGAACATCATTGGCTGTAGATGCTGTCAGTCAGGAGTGATCTCATCTCTTCCTCTATGCCTATCCTCCCCTCCACCTTCTTCCTTGGGTTCTTGCTCTATTTTTGGACACCCTATGCAAAGTACTGTTGGTGGCCCTTTACTGTCTTGCTCAATGTTGGTTTCCACTACTATATCTTCCCTCAACCAAACCCCCCTCTTCCACCATTCTATCCCTTCTGGTGAAACCTCATACATCACTTCCATCATAGTGTGACATCCTTTCATCTTCACAAGTGGAATTTGTCTGGTCCATTGCCTGTCACGCTGGACTTTCCAAAGGTGTAGTCTTTCTTCTCTTTCACATCTGTCAATTTCCTACCTTTACTGTTTACCAATGAAAGTGGCAAGCTTATTGCCTTTGGTCTCTCCATCATCATTTTTCAACTGGCCAACCATCCTTCAATCATGGCTTGTCCATCTTTTCTATTGTGGGGTACCAAGCATCCCTATCCACCATATTCAGCTTTTCCCAAAACTGCAATATTTTCTCTTCTCCTGTTCTTATCATCCTCTTCCATTCTTTCCTAATCCTAGTACACAGACCCCCTCTTCCCACTCACTTGCCTGACTGAGACTTGAATGTCATTCTTCATGCCCACACTCAAGACTCTCTTGAACCTCTCGCTACTTTCTCTCTTTATCACCTCTCTCTCAAAACCTGTTTTATTCTCCTTCTTGCCTGTGGTCATTATCAGTCTGACTTTCTCCACCACTCATACTTTCTTCCCTACCCTGACCATTCCTTCCTGTCTAAGACTTCAGTTGCTCTGGAAGGTGATCACACATTTTCTCTCATTTCTCTTCCATTTATTTCCCATCTTTATGGATGTTCAAACCTAGACAGATTTCTATGTTCAATCTGGGCCATTCATTATCTATCTTGTACTTCCTTCTTTTAGGGTTCCATTCCTTGGGACCCATTTTTTACTAGGGATCTTTCTTCCATCCTTACTCAATAAATCTGCCAACTCATTTGTATGGTTTACTCCTTCTTGGGGGTGAATAGTTGCTGGCTTTTTATGTCTCCTCCCACCCGATAACATACCTGACTCCTTCTCTGGCAGCCCATTTTTATTGATCACTAACACTAGAAGAGATTCTCCAGTCAAGCATGCACACTACCCTGCACATATTCATTGCCCACTATCTTCACCATCTGACTGTCTCTTCTCCAGAGTGATTCTGGTTTTCACCCATTGCCATCCTTCAATCCACCCTATGACTGTGACAGGCGAGTGTACTTCTTTATTTATTCCTACTTATCGTGAATCTGTTTTAAGATCCCACTAGTCAGACCAAGCTTAAACAATTTTTCATTTGATTTTGCTTACTCACCCTTCTGAGATATAGGTAGGTGGCTAGGCTATTTTTTTTCCCTACAGGTTGCCAGCAGTAACAATTGCCAAAGGCATGAAGTCTCTCTAGGGGAGGTCTGGGAGCATGACCCCTGGAAACTTTTTAATGAAGAAGTCACAAATGGTACTTTCTCAAAGCTTAAATGATTATGCAGGAGTTTGTAGTATCAGTGACATTGCAGTATAAAACTGTTCTACTTCCCTGGAAAGATGGTGACACCATTACTCTGCATGCCAAGAAACTGCTCACCAGGTTACATTCACTGTGCTTATCCTTTTGGCATTTACTGGAAGTGTATTGCTGATGCATGTAAACAATTGCATAAGCAGCTCATACATTTAGTAGAAAATGTTAGTGGATTTATAAAGACTTTAAAGACAATCCTAAGATAAGTAACATTCGGAAAACTAAATACTTTGCAGAATGAAAAGACTACATCAGGAAATGACCAGGCAGGTAAAAAAGGGTGGGGGGGATTAAATTGCTAAAAAAAAAATTGAGCTATATTTTGTGGGTCAGCTGTCAACATAAAAAAACAAAATTTTATTTTTGGCCTCTGCTATTATTCTTACCCAAAATCTGCATCGAGTCACGGTAACAGAAATTACTCATACCATCCACCCTGCCTCTTTAAGTGTCCTTTCTCGGATGGAGTATTCTGCAAGACCACTGGAGGTTTCTTCATTGTATTTATGTTATAGTTTGAGCCCAATCTAGACTGTACCCATTATATGGACTATCATGGAAAAAAAGCTAGTACCACAGCTTGTTGGCTTTTAAAAACAATAGTTTCATGGTTATCCATTGTATTACCTCCAGTAAAATACCTTTCCAAATATAGAGACCAATGGGAATCTGGGCACATTCTCTGGGTCTCCCATATGCGATTTCTCCCCCTCTTTGAGTGGAGCATTGGAGACTCTTGCCACTTACTAGCTCTCAGCTGCTGAGGTGGTGGACAATGGAGAATCCTCACCAATTGACACCTAACTGCTGGGACTAGAACAAGGGTTCCCATCCCCTCTGAGAAGTGGGGCTGGGATATTTCCAGAGCATAGTGCAGTTCACCCCACATAAATTTGATACATCACAATCTCCAAGTGGACTGTAGATACATATCACTGTCCCAATCATATAAATATGTATCACTCTCTCATGGTTCCTGCTCCTGCATTTGCATGAACTCTCAGATTCTGATGGTGGAGTAGATGAAACTAATCCATATCCAACTGTGATATATCACTCTCACACCTTACTCCCACAGCAGGCAAGTGGCCTGTAGAGTGGTTCAGTAGAGGTTATTAAGTATCCATGATTACATATTCCAATACAGTGCTCTCCTCCCACAGCTGGTTTTGACCCGTTGAGTCTGATGGTAGAGGAGGTGAGCACACAAGCTACAGTCTAAATAAGCCTCAACCTCACTACTACTATTGGCTGTCTGATGTCTTCTTTGCATATACTTGGACAGTCATGTACATATTCTGTTTGTCCCTGTTACAGTTTTCAGGCTATCTGCCTCTTCTTATACATAAGCAAAGAGCATACCCTGGGTGAGAAGAGATGCAGTCCCCCATGGATGTGTTCCTATGGAGCCCCTGCCATCAGGTGTCACACCCAATGTGTTTCATTTCAACGCTTTCAGAAGGAGACTCGTCTAGGTAATTTTTGCACCAGTTCTTCCACCATCTCAATCTGAAATTCTAGCTATCTGTGTATGGAGGTGAGTATTGCCTTATTTTATGAAGATACACAAAACATACTAAAAGTTATAGTATGGAAACTGTTGATTACTATGTGGTTACAAGGTTGATAACATTGACGGACCATGTATGGAAAGAAGTTAATAGATATGTTATATATAGGTATACCATGTGTTTTCTACTTTGTTGCAATGTAGGAACTTTCCTATAATTTTCATTTGTATAGATGTGTGTGTGTGTGTTTGCAGTTTTGACGTAACATTAGTCAAGAAGGTCATTATGTTGCTGTTACTTTAGCTGCATATTGTTCTGTATCATTCACCTAAGATAACACCTTTTGTCTTCGTGTGGGAAAGATGGCTGTAAGGTTATGAAGTTAGTTGTTTTTTCCACTGGCACCCATATGGTATCTTGAGGTTATCATCTCACTTGGGTTTCAGTGCAACTGTTAAGTCATGTGAGTAGTGCAAGTTGCTCTGGGTAGGTTTGACATTACTGACTTATTTAAGTAACATGATGTTTATACAGTTTGGCACAAGATCTCAACTCTGTAAGTTCATAACAAGTCTAGAGAAAGCTCTTCAGAGAAGGTGTCTGTCCATTGTAACAAGTAAATACACATACACTGTGTTTGTGAAATTAATAATGGTTGTGTGTTGTGATTGTACTCTAGTGTCCAGTCTCTGTTTCTTGTAAACTCAGTCAGAGAATACAGAATTACTTTGTGATAAATATCTTGAAGAATCTCTTGTTACTGTGCTGACCTATCTTGTCACTCTTGGGGGAAGTGGTTTTACCTGAAAATATAATAGATAGATCTAAAATATATTCTAACAGTGTACATGTGTTAGTGTTTTGGTTTGTAATTAGTGTGTTTTGTTGTCACTTTGCATTTTCATTTCTGCTGTTAGCTCTCAGTTCAGATGCATTTAGTTAGCATGAGTAATAAACTTGCAACTTGAATCAAGTCAGTTTTCTTTCTAGTAATTTTCTTTAAATAATGTGGTCAACAGTTAGCTTGCAGCTTCCGCCTATATTTATCATATGATTTGTCCAGAAATAGTTTTATAAACAAAGGATACTGAAGACATATCAATTATCAAAAGGTTGAATCTATATGCATTACAGTCAGGTAGAAACTTTTTAGTCAGCAACTGTTATAGGCCACCTGGCCATCTAAGCTTTTCACATATGCATATTTAATTCATATATGATTATTAACACTTAAATGGACCCAATTTATTCATTTCTATTTTTTGTATGTGCTAAGTGTTTGTATGGGTTGTCATTTCACATCAGTTTTTATTAAACTTATAGGAGGTTATAAGTTTTAGGTAAGTGTGAGCTGGTACTGTGTGTGATTCTCAAGTGAATGCTAAATATGTGAAAATGAAGGACTTTTTCTATCTTAAAAAAATATATTAATTTTCATTTTTTCTACCTTTATTAAATTATACGCCCAATATAACTTTATTTTTTCTTGTGTTTTTTCTAGTCCAAAATATTGTACATCTGTGTATTTTATAAACCTTTTTTTAGTGCTCTCCACTTCCATTTTGCCAAAATGACAATGAGTTAAGGGCCTCAAAAGGAGTTAAACAGGCTATCCTTGCAGCATCTCCAATATTGAAGAAAATGGGATTGGCTCATGTGAGATTCATAATAAGTTTTGTTTTTATGCTTCAGCACTTAATATTGAGAATATCTTATTCAGCCATGAAAGGGTAAAGTATAATGCATTATATGAGCTTTTCAAAACATTGTATAATTCATGAAGGCTAAATTGCACTTCTATGTTTGTATATGTGTTATGTGTTCCAATTATAATATATGGGTTAATCATGAACTCAAAGTTTTTATTTATGACAAAAGGATAATGCATATAAAATTTGCTTAAATTCCTAAGCTTAAAACAAAAAATGACTATTACATTGTTTTATCTGAGCTAATTGAAAAATTTTAATAAATGGTTTTAGATAGTACACTATGTGTATGTGGATGAGCAAATATAGAAGTATAAAATAAAGTTTAAATCCAGAATAATGAAAAGTGTCAGAAGTAGTATCCATATAAATTTGGTATTCTTCCATTATTATGGATTTAAACTTTATGTAGGATTAATTTACACAGTATACTGTATTTACTTGCTACTGCAGTTGAGCCATCAAAGGTAAATTAACAGTTGCAAAATGCAGTACATGTTCATATGCAGCAGTTGGTCAATTTCTTGATTTTTTTTCTGGTCAGTTTTCATTGGAAATACTAACACGTGCTGCTGGTATTGTTTTAGCTGTGAGTGTTTAATTGTGCTTGTCAGTAAATCATTAAACTTTTGGTCGTACAATTATATAGATCAGACACCAAGAACATGAATTAAATATAAAGTGGTTGTTATACATAGTAGGCATAATATAAATACTGATTTACAAAAGGTACAGATTTTCTTTTTTCTTGCATGTAGAGCCAACAATATATATTTTGTACTTTTCAGGAAACTACAATTTTTAAAATGTTCATATTATGTGTATGTGTGTGTGTATGCAATGTAAAAATATGTTATACTTAAACATATCCACTGTATCATGCATTTTAAATACAAACAATCCTTTTTACATGAGCTTGTGTTTAATGTCGCCAATTCTTCTAACTTTCTTAAGAGTTGTAATTGTTTATAATCAAGAGACCTTTGCTGAAAGACTGGTTCAAAGTGGTTGTACAGTGGAAGTTAGTTACATGTACTATATACATACTAGTTCATGAATGCATATATTTTTAGCTGCATGTTAAATATCATTCAAACAGTAAGCATTCTGGTGTAGAAGCCCATAGACAAGATAAAGTTTTCATTACTACTTATATGATTAACAATACATTTTTAGTTGAATAAGCTCAAAAATCAGACAGAGTTTTTCATTTTACTTGTGAATAAATCAATCAACTTTAAGCTAGATCAACCATAAATCAATGTAATATTAGGTTTCAACTGTACAGTACTTGTATGTAAATTATACTTTCAAATGTAATTGTTCATCAGTCATAAAGATTTCAGCTGTACATTTATATAGATAAAACAACAAGTGTCATCTGTACTTATCAGTAAATCATTAAACTTTCAGATGTATAACTGCATAGAATGTCTCAACTGTACTTGTACATAATCAGTAAGCTTACAGTTTTACAAATATATATATATAGTCCAGACAGTAAGTTTTAAGTGAAGTTGTACATAAATAAACTTTCAGCTATACAAGTAAGTAGACAAGACATGCATGTTTTCAACTTTACACTTACAGAAAACAAACTTTCTGTTCTGTAAGTGCATTTATCATACAGTAAATTTAGAAATTTTCTTTTATGTGAAACAATAAACTTTCGTTTTTACAATTATATAGACCGGACAAGGTTTTGAAGTATACATTTACATGAATACAAGTATATAACCAGGCAGTAAGTTTAGTACTATATTTTTATATGAAGCAATGCAGATTCATTTTTATAAGCACAGCAAGCACATAGACCAAATGATAAGTTTCAAGTGGTAAATGTACAGAATTTTCTTTTGTGATTGAAAATGAATAAATTCATGATGTGTTATGTCTTTTTTCTCTCTGTTTTCTTTTGAGTTGCTACTGGTATTATTTTAGCATGTACAAATTATTATCTTTATTTAATCACCTAGTATTATGATATTCAGTATATTTGGAATGTGTTGGATATTTGTAGCACTTTGGATACAAATATGGTTTTGGTAAGTAACAGTTTTGATGTTTTGTTTTTTTTTGGTTATAGGTTAAAGAACTGATAAACAACTCTTTTGGTGTGATTAGAAGACAGTTTCAAGGCTTTGCATCAAATGAGACAACTGATGGTGGTGATGAAGATGACAGTAAAGGTAAAAATAGTGGAATTATTATGTCATATGCCCAGAAAAATGCAGTATACTTGTATATTCTTCATAATGTTTCAAGCTATTCAAAGTAATTTAAAATCCATAAATCCACGTGACCACTTTGTACTTGTTATAGTTTTGATACCACTAACTTTTACTATAGTATTTGTATCTTCATTAAATTTAGCAGACTTTCAGCAAACGTTACAAGTCTTTTTACATACAAAAAGCCAGATATTTTAGTGAAGTATTTTTAATCAATATTTGTCCGTGAATATATTGAATCTTTGTTTTTTACTAGTCCGAGTGCCAAGTGATTTTCAAATTAAGATTAAAAGTACTTTTCTTCATCTCAAAAATCTCAAATTTTATTTACATAATCTTTTTAGACTCATAATAGCATCCATATGTTTATTCTTAAATTTTATTGTTTTATTCCCTTTTGAACCATGTCTAACTACTATTCGTGCCATTATAATTTGAGGAATGTGCAGCTCATGGCATGCTATTGAATTACATTACTCACAAGCTAATCCCAGCTGCTCACAGTGTGCCTCCTGAAATTCTTTTATTATATTATTATTATTTATTTTACCAAATATAACCTTAACTGATCTAAAGAGTTTCCTATTTTGGTATTTTTGTTACTTTTATAATAATAAATAAAGAATACACAGGGAAAACAAGAAATAAAATACTTAACTGGGCCTCCTCTTTTTTTGTTGTCGACTGTCAATAACACTTAATCCTACTTTTTTACACTAGTGCACTAAATAACTTTTATTTAATTAGATAATGCACCAAAGAACATAGGATAATAATATGAAAAAAACAGACAATGTCTCATAAATATCACAATTTTATTTGGCTTTCTAACTACATGGCAACAGCTGTTACAAATTCTTCCAAGCTAGTCGACGTTTCCTGTGGGAACAAAGATTGTACTGAAATAGAAATTGACAATTCTCTGTATAGAAATCAACTTAATATAATATGTCATTTGATAGATGAAAACCTTGGCTTTTTATTGGTCATAAATAAGATAGAATTAAATGTAAGAGAGAACTATCAATAAATCCTGAAAGAGAGGATGTGACAAGTGGGTGTGGCAAGATGGTCTGATTTTCTATTTGATGGCTCTAACTAAACAATATTTAAGGCTATGAAAATTAAACTTTGTCTGAATGATGATGATGATGATATTATAGTGAGTAATATATGTTAAATTTCATATTTATTGGAGGCGAATAGATTTGTCTGAGTGATGACAATTTTATAGTGAGTAACTTTTGTATTTATTGGAGGGGTGGTGAATACATTAGAGAAGAGGGGACGCTTAGAGAAAAAATGTTACATTTTTCACACTAGGGGAAATTCAGGATTTTTTTTATTGCCTTATAAAATTAAGAATTTAAAACTTGTATACTATTAAAATATGGATTATTAGCTATGATTTTATGCTACAGGTACATCACCAATTTTCTGTCACCTTTGGTTCCAGAGCCTAGCTGTATTATCTATTTTGCTGGACCAAATGAGGTCACATAATAATAATTCAACAAACCACCTCTGACCCACTAATTATACCCCTCCCGTGTCTCTAAAGCACCATGGACTGTTAGAAACTTAACTAAAACAAATATTAAATGTAAATTAAATATGAACATTAGTACAGGTATAAATGATACAGGTTTATTAGTACAGTATAAATAAAAAAGTTCATTAATTACTGTACTTACATTATTATCAACATTCTGTGTTGTAAAAAGTTGAAGAAAAATTTTAAACTAAATATTTGTATCTTGTTAAGCTACATATTCTTGGCAACATTCATGAGAAAATTCAAGCAATTTGAGCCACTAGTTTAATATTTATAAGAAAATCTTCACGAGAGTGACGTACCTACTTAAAATGTAAGTAGCCTGTCCTGAAAGAGCACATGGCACACGCAATGCCATCTGTGGCCACCCAGTGAATTAATCTGGCAGTCATGGGAATTTCAAGTGCGCTCTTGTAATTTTGTCCAGATTAAAGGAGGTGCTGGACCATCAGTTGCAGGAAAATTTGTGGTGTACTGTATATTAATTGGTATAACATAAACAAAAATAATTAGATTAAATTTTGAATGCAAGTCACTAAAAACCTCCCAATGAGAGGGTTAACAACGACATGCTTTTTAAACTCTTTTCTGCACATGTCATTGAATTAAATTCAAAATTTAATTAAACTTCTTTACTATCAATGTATTTTAATGAAATTATTATTATCAAGTACATTATAGTTCAAATTTTTATATTATCTTAGTTTTTATTTCTTTATTTCAAAAGAAACATTGAAAGCAATAATGAAATTTCTGTTTTGTGTCATTTGATGCACGAGCTATAAACAATGTCAAAATTTGGTGAAGTACAACCTGAAGCATGAAGGGGTAGTCTTGTACATGTAAGTATAAAAAGAGAATGTAGTTTACTTGCTCTTTCGACATGTATATTTCAAAGTTCTTTTGCTGAATGCAGTTGAAACAAGAAATAAATTTTGTCAACCCCCCTGACATGTGCCATGCTCACATTTTATACTTAATGTTGGGCTTTAGAAGATATGTGTACTTTCAACGTGTACGAGTTTATAGTCATTAGAAAGAGCTCATTTTACACTATTATCCAACAACATATATTTTGAAATTGGCACCAAGTTGTCATCCTTAGGTAGATGTAATTTCTTGTACTATTGTTGGCTGCTTTGTTCACAGTAGCACTTCAGTTGTCTCTTACCTAAATAAGTTGTAGTTAGAGAGACAGTTAAATTGTATTTAGGTTTAACTTTTATATTTTAGTTAATTATGCATTATTTGTGTTTTAAAATTCATATTTCAAATGTTTAATAATTTTTATAAAATAAAAAAAGCTTTGATTCATTCTGCAAAGCTTACATTACTAAGCATGTATAAAAGATTTTGCTGGAGACTAAGGTATCACTGCCATTCATACCATTCTGTTGCCCGTGTATACTTGTTGACATGTGTTGACATAACTAATCAGTAATAAAGAATAGGAGAAGAAAATAAAACACTAAAAATATACTATAAGTGAAATGGTAAAGACATGAAATTACACATATGACCCTAAGAAGATATTTTAAAATTATTTAATGAAGAGTTAAAAGATATGTACGTATTTCTATTTCTTAATTTTAAGCATTTCATTGCATTGTATGTTCAAGATAAGAGCTGAAGTTAGTGATATAGTAGAGAAAATGGAAAATAAAATATAAACATTTACCTTTAAAAAAAAATTTATATTGATTTAGGATGTTCATGTGAAAATTGTATGATAATAAATAGTATTTTTATACTAAAAATGAAAATTACCTTGAAGGTGAACTACTCAGAGTCTGAGTGCAAATAAGTACATTAAATAATGAATTTTTATTAGAAATAGTAGAAAAAACCATAATTAAATAGTTTATTTTTCTCAAACTACTTACTTTTATGAAAGTTCTTGTCAAGTTTTAAACAATTTTGTCCACTTGTTTTATTATTGGAATGAAAATTAATGAGAGTTGCGTAATGTGCAGAATGTAGTTATAGGGTTGTTAAAAATTATTCTTTCAAAAGGCTTGATTTATTCTAAAAAAATTCCAATAAATATCCTGTATGTTATTTAAGTTTTTGGGACACTATTTATTATTGTTTTTTTGTAAGTGTCTAAAGGAAGATATGTGTATGTAATGTTTTTATATGTTGGTATGATATGCTTGTATTAGGTCATCAAGATATTAATGTCACGTTTTTTACATGAAAAACCCGAACAACTTGTATATCTAAACAAAACATTTATTAAATGAAATAGGCTCCATTCTTAGCGATGATGCTTTTCCATCTTACAATCAGGTTGTTAATGCCCTGATTAAAGAAATCACTTACCTTTGAAGCAAAAAACATGTCAATGTCTTCTCTAATACCTTCCACATTTGCATATGTTTTCCCATTAAGATGGAGTTGCAGTGAACGAAAAAGTTGGTAATCTGATGGTGCCATATCTTGAGAATATGGTGTGTGGGGGAGAACTTCCCAAACCAACTCCATGTGGAGGTGCATTGTCATGGAGAAGAAGAACACCTTTTCGATTGACGAGTGAAGGGCTTGATTTAAACGTTCCAGTTGCTGACTATAGATCTCTGCATTGACTGTTCCCTGTGGATTGAGGACTTTGAAATGAATTACTCCTTTGATGTCCCACCAAATGCAAAGCATTAGTTTCTGCAGATGGAGTCCAGGTTTTGGGGTTGGAAGTGGTTTTTGTATAGGACTGAGCCATTGTTTTTGGCATTTAATATTTGCATAGATAATCCATTTTCATCACCGGTGACAGTTCTGTCCAAAAATGGTTCATGCGCATTATGCCCCAGAAGAGACGAAGCAACATTCACACGTTGGAAACTATGATCATTAGAGAGTTCATGAGGCATCCAAATACTTTCTTTATGGACTTTTTCCATATTCCTTAGATGTTTATGTATTGTTTCATAAGAGACATGCAATTTAAGGGCCATTTCATGAGTGTGTTGCCTTGGGTTAGACTCAACAAGTGTCTTCAGAGCATCAATATCAATTCCACCATGTCGGCCCCTGCCATCACAGTTTTTAAGGCTAAAGTCACTTGAACGAAATTTGCTGAATCATAATTGACACTTACTAACATTCAAAACATTTCCATAAACTTCTTTGATATTCTTTGTGGCTACAAAAGTGTTTTTACCCTTCTTGTATTCAAACAGCATTACATGCCGAATGCATGTCTCATCGTGTGCCATCACTATAAAGGATTAGAGTATACTAAACTTTACACATTATTTAGGTTACACTAACTTGACACTTAGGTGGTTTGTTTAATTATTATATGTGATATACGTT